TGATCTAAAACTCATTTACTGTCTTGGAACAGAATTGATCTTGCTTTCACATTTGATTCCGCCACTGCAGTTTTCGAGAGGAAGAAAAATGGCATTGTTAGGTCACTTTAACTAGGCCATGGGTAGGCAGCGAGCACTGTGAGCCTGCTGTTGCCAACAGCTTTTGTCTTTCTCCTTTGTCTCCCTTCGCAAGGATTTATGTAAAATTGTATGGAATTTTGGTACAAAATAGGGGCTGTATTGGTTTTGCCCACTTGCCAGCACTCCTTGCTGTTTGCTCACTTAATGTTGACAAGCACTATTAGGCTGTTCTGTACAAATGCTATGAATTTACTGCATCTAGAGTCAACTGTTCTGACCTTCTAAGCCTGTTACATTTGCAAAATCTAGGTTGGTACTTATGGAGGAAATATTCCCTTTATGATTAAATATTTCTGAAGTTTTTAAGTCTTCAGAGTGAACGAGGACACTTCCTTTCTGATCAGATAAATAAGACAAAAGTATATATATTTTATTGTAGGGAAAAAAAAGAAGTCTTTGCTGTTCCAAAAAGCATCCAGTTATATACATGCTACAGAAGCAGCACTCAATAAGGAGCCCTTTAATTTTCAAAGTTCTGAGAGTTTGTTGTACATTTCCAGGCAAATGTTGCTTTCAGTCTGCCCAGGGAGGTGGTGGATCACTGTCCCTGGAGGTGTTGAAGACACACAGCGATGTGGCACCTGGGGTCATGGTTAGTAGGCATGGTGGGATGGGTAGGTGTTGGGCTCGATGGTCTCAGGGGTCTTTTCTCGATTCTGTGACTCCTCTGTGGTTATTTCTCAACATTGCAGCAGTCCCTGAGCAGAAGTGATGAAAGGGCTGTTCGTGTAGGAACGACACAAATGTCTTGCCGGTCATTTTTTATTCTGACTGAATAAAATGCAACCATGCAAAGTAACTACTTCTTAATACATTGTAAGACCATATTTTTGGAAAGAGATTAAACCCTCCGTGCCCATGCCAGTGCTGAAATTGCTGTGGGAGCTTCACCTGTTTCGCGGATGGAACATAAGTAACTTGAGAGAGCATCAGGAAAATTGAATCCTCTCCTAGCATAAGTTCAGTTGAAGAAATGAAATGTGCCACAGTTAGAGGGCAAAAAAAAAAAATGCTGGAAGTATGTTATGTAAAAAGCAGGAGATTTGAGATGTGCTCAGTGCACATTGTTCAGTTTTTTAAGTGTTCATAATTATGACTTTAGAAAAGTTGTTCAAGTTTTAATTTAGGGCAGAAAATATCCTCTGTCTGAAAGAGAGCACAAACTCTGATAGAAATTTGCAGCTCCAAAATGAGGAGTTCATGGGATGTGAATTTTTAACCAGAATATCCAAAGTTAAGTTTCTCTCTTTCTGCTGGTATTTCATCCAGGTGCATGTCAAATCAGGACCAGTAAAAAAAAAAATCATCCAAAAAAAGGTGCTGGTCTTTTTTAAATTTCTGATTAAAAAAACACTGTGTCCACGACTTAGAGAAAGAGAGAAGACTGAAAAAATCCCTAAAGCTCTTGTCCTTCACTTCTGTTCTTTTGTATATAAAATCAGAAAAAGATTGAAAGCAAGCTGAACCACGTTCTTGGAGTCCATCATTTTTATTTAGTCCAAACTGGATGTTGTGGCAGATTATGAGAATGGGAACCAGAGTTATCAGTGTCTTGTTCGTGCCTATACTATTGATTTTCCTGAGCGAATTATTTAATTTTTTTAAACCTATCTCCAAAACGAGGATAACAATGCTGATGGGTGTAATATGTTTAAAGCTCTTGAGATTCAGCAAGGAGAGACATCCAAGAAATTCAAAGGGGTACATGCATTCAAAATAACTGAAGTCTTTAGTTTTCAGGTCGCATTCCCATCAGCAGAAATGGAGTAGGCATCAAAGACTCCAACCTTTGTTTTTGTGTTCTGGAAACGCTGGGGGAAGTGGGCAGCTCAGTACAGGCCCTGCTGTGCTTTGTGGATGGAGGTTTTGCTGCCATACAGATGCCTTCAATGAGGGCTTACAAGGATGAGTTTCCAGTCCTTGCCCTTGATTTGCTTTGCTTGCAGCCTCTGTGCCTAACTTTGTTGCCATGTACTTGTGGCATATGTGTCACCATGCGGAGTAAGAGATAAGGACAAATGCTGATGGAGTTCTGTACATAGGAATGACATTTCTCGACCTCTCTTCTTCCTCTTTTACTGCCTGAGCTCAGTCTGTCTGGTTAGTCACACCTAATCTTTAACAAGAGACACTTTCATTGCTTCATCCTTAATAACATTTAACAGCAGAAGATGCATCCAAATCATCACATCTTTCCCATGGCTGAGTTTTACTGCTTTTATTCAGATTTACAGGAGAAAAGCCGAGTCTGCTGCTCGCAGCCATTTCAGCTTGTTCTTCAGAGTACCTGCCCTTCCCAGCAGCCATGGACTTGGGGTGGGTGTCACGATGCAGCCCCCTGCCCACAGAACAGGGTCGGTGGGAGAGGGGCTCTGAGAGCATCCCCACTAACAGGGCTTCTCCGGGACTAATTACCTCTTTACTGCGCTGACTCTAATGTGACATGTTTATTGCCTTAACTAACAACTCATTAGCTTAGTTGATGTTTTTGTCAATATTAATTCGTTCATTTAAGCCAAGTCAAAGCTTAAACAAAGATGTCCAGGCTGAGAAACGGGCAGCAGGATGACTTTTGTTCAGTTCATCTTTTCTTCAGCTCAGTGTACGCAGGGCAGGTGTCAACAAGAGCAGCACTAGGAGTATCTGTATGAGAAATGCTGGAGTGCTTCACTGCAAAAAAATGTTTGTGATGCTTCTTAATAGGTTCTTTCATTTGAGACAAAATTCATGCGCATTGAAGCTTCATAGAATCATTACTCTTGGAAAAGTCTTTTAAGATTATCAAGTCCAACCCCAAACCATCTCCACTATGCCCACTGAACCACGTTCCCAAGTGCCACATCCCCATGGTTCATGAATACCTCCAGGGATGGGGACTTCACCACCTCACAGGGCAGCCTGTGCCACTGCATCCTTGCTCTTCTGGAGAATAATTTTTTCCTAATATCCAGCTGTACTTTTTAAGAAGAAACTTTCAGCTCGCATTACACGCATGCAAGTTTGGTGTGAGTTCGTGTGCACAGCAAGACTCTCAGTAGCTTTCCAGGATGCTGAAATGTCAGGAGCTTTATTTAATGAATCACACAACTCGTAGGAGACAGTTCTGAAAACCAGGGAAAACTGTGTTCAAATCAATAGGTTATCATTACCGCAGAGGCAAACTAAATGAATGTTATTAAGAGGTAACAAATAATTATGTAGTGATAATGATAAATTACCTTTATCTGGGAGCATTGTTTTAGTGTTCCCTCACATTTATATATATGTATGCAACTACTTTAATGAAAAACTAATCTATTGAATGAAATAGCGGGAGGGAGAGAGCTCTGTACGTGGGCAGATAGTGACAGGACAAGGGGAAATAGCTTTAAACTGAAAGAGGGCAGATTTAGGTCAGATGTGAGGGGGAAATTCTTCACCCAAATAGCAGGCAGGCTCAGCACTGCTGCACAGAGCTGCCTGGGTGCCTGAGGCAATGGATGGCATGCCCTGGGCATCCTGGGCTGGTGGGGGGCAGCCAGCCCACGGCAGGGGTGGGCTTTCTGTGTGTATATTATGTAGCACGTCTCTGTCATCTCAAGAGCTGTCAGTGAAACTGAGTTATTAGTTAGTGTCTCATCCTTCTATTGGGACTTCTGTTCTGCTTCCACCTCTCAAGCTGTGATGCTGATAGCTTTGCCAGCAGCAGTGACCAGAGTCAGAACAACACGAAGGCTTTGCAATCATTTCATTTCACTCCTTAAATAAAGCAGTACCAGTCCCCACATGTTTAACGTTGAGGAGCTTTCAGTTGGAAGTATATTTTGAGAACAAGGGAAATCATCACTGTAAAACTGGAATACTTTACAAATAGGCACCGTGGTTTGTGCAGGGCATGGGAGGAGGCTTGTGGAGCCCTGGTTGTCTGCACTGTGCACAGCTGCTCTGCAGGCCTGGCAAGCAGCAGGTGCTCACCTGGAGGTTGTGGTGGGTTTTGTGACTTTATTTTCTCACTCAGTTAAGCATACCTGGCTCAAAGTTATTTTAGCTCCAGCAGGATTCAAAAATGTGTAACCTAAACAGGGCCTAATTTAACTGCTTTCTTCCCCATTTGTTTTCCTGAGACATTGTTGCAAAATTATTTACCTTCTTTTCTGAGAGGTTTTTATTACTCCAGTAATATTATCACAGATTCTGTTTGAGTGATTTTTAAAATTTTTTTGCAACTCTGTTGAAGGGGAATTTCTTCATACAATTCCTTCCATCACGATTCACCCTGATTTTTTTTTTTATTTTCTACACACCATTTTCTGGCGTGTAGATTGACTATTTTTTTTCATAAAGATTATTTCTAACGTAGTAAAAACATTGTGATTAAGAGTCAACAACAGCAGTGTTGGCATGGAGCTGTTTAAAGCAGATGACTGTACTGTGCTGTCTCGTGTGCTCTAACATAGGGGCTGGTGCTACCATAGAGAACTTGTTCAGGATCTGTCAGGCAGAGGTTGGCTGGGGTTCAGCATTGCTGATGGAATGCAAAACTTTAACACATCCTTTATTTATGTGTAACTGAAAATTATCATTTGTTACTGTAGCTCCCAAAACCCGATTCCTTGCAGAGTCAGCTGTAGGAGCTGTAGGTACTTTCCACAAAGCGTGTGTAATCTGGGGACTACTTGTAAGACACAACATTTTTCAAATTTAATTAAAAATATCTCAGGTTTCTTCTGTCTTTCCATCAGATTTTTCATTGATTATAGGAGTTTCTGGAAAAAATCTGAAAGTGGTATTTTTAATGAATTTAAACAGCCCTTAGGATAAAATATAGAACAGTGCTTGTAATATGTAACACCTTTCATTGCCCTGGCTCTCCTTGACAGGCAAGGCACTGACATTTCTGCTGCTGCAGCCTCCCAGCCCCAAGCTGCCTGCGCACAGCACCATCCGCAGAACTGCCATTGACCTCATCGGCCGTGGCTTCACTGTCTGGGAGCCCTACATGGATGTCTCTGCAGTGCTGATGGGCCTGTTGGAGCTCTGCGCTGATGCCGAGAAGCAGCTTGCCAAGTAGGTGTCTCCTTATAAACTTGTGAACCCTGCGCCTTCTGCAGCCTGCATGTGGAATTGTAGAATTGTTAAGGGAAAGACTTCTAAGATCATCTAGTCCAGATCCTGTGTTTAGAGTAGTCAGTCATCTCAGATACAAATAAAATCATGGAATTGTTTGAGTTGGAGGGGACCCCTAAAGGCCATCTGGTCTCGCTCCCCTACGGAAAACAGGGATACGTACAGCCCATGAAGTGCTCAGAGCCCCATCCAGCCTGACCTTGAATATCTCAAAGGACAGGACACCCATCACCTTTATGGGCAACTGTGTCAGTGCTTCTCTACCCTTAGCATAAAGAACTTTCCTTATATCTAGTGTAAATCTCCCCTCTTTCAGTTTGAAACCATTTCCCTTTGTCCTATCACAACAGACTCTGCTAAAGACTCTATTGTCCTCTTCCTTATGTTGGCCCTGCTTTAGATAGTGAAGTACCTGTAATAGTCAGCAAGGAGATGGAAAAAGAAAGGAATCCTCCATTCTGGAGAAGGCAGGGGTTTTTTTGTTGCTGACATTACTATTTGTAGCATCAAGGAAACTTGTGTATTTAAGGATTGCTAAGAAATCATAAACTCGGTGGACCACAGCCTATCTTTCAAGTTTGTGGACAACTTATCGAAGTGTCCTGAATAAAGATACAGATGGTTTAGGCTAGATTTAGCTGTCTTGTACATGTCTTGAACATCTGATCTCCTGGAAAAAAAATATCATAGAATAATAGAATGGCTCTGTCATGTGTAGTGTAGCAATAAAATCTTTCAGATAAGTATTTGCAGCTGGGTCTAAAGAGGAAGGAGTGTGTTGATTTCAGTGAAGGTCTTGGGCTTGCCTCATTTATGCAGACTAGATTCTCTTCTTGAAAGTGCCGTTAATCACACCATCAAGTAGTCATAGCTAAACACAAAGTGAACTTACTAGGAGGACTTGAATAATAAAGGTAGTGTCCCGCACATTTTGTTAAGATCATGGAATTTTTGGATTTTATTGTTTGGGGTTTATTAGTGTGGCTTTGCAGCAGATTAGGGTTGTTATTGAGTATCCCTAAATGTATGAGCTGAGGCCCAAAGACAGTATATTTCTACTGGGGAGCTGAGTCTCACAATCCTTACTCTGTAGATCCAATTAATGACAACAGGACTATTTGTCCAGTGAAGGGCTAGCAGTATAGTATTCATTTTTATTATTGTTTGTTGTGAAACTGGCCACCTGGTCTGAAATTTACTATAAATTGCAAAGTAAATGTATTTTAATTTATTTGTTTTCCACCAAAAAAGCAAACAAACTCAGCTTGCTGACCAGTTTGAGTTCTGAATTTAGGTATGTGCAGATGGGATGTGTTTCCCAGCAGAATACAAACTCTCCAGTGTGTGAATCGTGGTAACACTTTCCATTTCAGTACAGCTTTCTGAATTTGCACTGATTGAAATTCTAGTGCTTTCTGTGTCTGGCATACTAAGTGTTGTGTGAATATTCACTAGGGGTTTTTTAAAAAAACATGTTTAATGTTTAATTTTTTCTATATAGTGTTTTCTCCATAGTATTTTAATTAGTGACGTTCTTCTTTAAGTATTAATTATTAAATTACTTCATAAACCATACATTAATGTAGGAGCAGTTTCATTCTAGAAGACTTCATGACTCATCTGTGAAAGGTTTTTGCTCATGAAAAAATAAGCTCTTGCTTCTGAAATTGCAGAGCTCAACATAACTGCTTATTTAGGTATTAATATTACTGCATTTCTTAAAATGTGGAGGCTCATTTTACAGTACATGATATTTTGCTTTGTGGCTTTGTTCATGCCTTCCAGGCTTTTGGATATATTCTGAAGCTTGTAGGGGAAAAGAACTGTGTGTTAAAGGAGAAGAAAATGTTTATATAAAACTGCAGTAGGCATTTCTGTAGGGAATATTGATATATGTTAGAACTGTGTGGTTAGCATAAGGAGGGTCTCTGGTTAGCTTGCAGATATTTTTGTTTACAACACCACTGTAGTAACATTAGCTTAGATATTAAAAATAACATTCCTAATTGTTTTCCCGTTTTATTCTGAGCCTGTTGTTTGATACATCAGTAATTATTGTGTTTGGGGATTTTTTCTGTACGCTGTGCTGGATGAAACTATGTAGTCAGAAGCACTTCTAATGATAAGCATTATTAATGGCTATTTAAACTGTTTTTATAGTTACAAACAATCTTCTGGTTTTGTCAAGAAGTTCTTTTGTTTGCAGCACTAACTTTGAAAACCACAAGCACTTGTAGTGGAAGTCCACATCATTAACCTTAGCGTTCAAGATCAAAACCTAGTTCTGAAAACTGCTATGTTGCAAGTTTTATTTTATGAATATGCTTAAAACTGTTTACTGATAAGCACACATAAACATTTTAAGTGATGGGTGCAGAAAGGAGCTGACTGCGTTTGTCTGAATGCTGTGTATGCATCCACCTGTGGGAGCACTAAGATTTGTACCTTTTGCATTGCATTAAGGGAGATTACCAAGTTTACATAGCAGTTTTGATCTCCTCAGACTGTGAAGGATGAGTGATTGTGGTGTGTTGAGGGCAGTTAGTGGATAAATCTGTACAAACTGGGTGAATATTGTTATCTGCCTGAACCTCGATTATTTTAGCTTGACAGAAGAAGCCAAAACATTTTACCTTCCCAAAGAATCTTGTGTGTTCTATTGTATTTAAATGTGGGCTTGCACAAACCAGTGAATACAGTTCTTCAGAAAGTAATTTTCATCTTGCTATTACATTCTCAGCTGTCATAAAGATTAGTATGGCTCTCTATACACAGAGCACTGAATAAATGAATGTATCAGCATGTAGCCTTGAGGAGCCCAATGCAATTTTCATGATGATAAATTGCATAATAAGCGAGAAAGTGTTTGCTTATTAATCCATAACAAGATTTAGATTGAAAATGGCCTGTTACATTCATGACAGATACAGTACTGACTGCAGACAGACTAAGATGGAAAGAAATGGAGCAACAATGTGTGCAGGGGGTTAAGTGTGCATCTTACCCTCCCGGTGCCCTGCTGAGCTGCCCCTTTTTGTGCCTGATTTACCGTGTACACAATAACAGTGCACAGCTGCCTGGCTTCTATCCCTGATGTTAAGAACGTTTTATGAAAGAGCTTTTATGTCAAGCTTGTGCTTTAAAAAAAAATCACTTCACATTTATTGACAAAAAAAAAAAAAAAAAAGAGGTGTTTTCTTTTTTCCCTTCTGAATTAAATATCTGAGCTGAAATCCAAAACGTGGGTGTTTATAACTCCTCTGCTCTCCCAGTTCATCTCAGTCCCTGAAGGATGCAGCAGGCAAGCCAGTGAAGCTGCTCAGGCATGAGGATTAGGAGTATTTTTCTAGCACTTATTAGGCTTTGATTTCTTGGCACAGGTGATTGTTGGGATCATTGCTGTCTGTAATTTTTGCTCTTTGGATTACAAGCTACTGTTTGATTCAGATCGTGATACTGTATACCAAAATGAACAACTTACGTTTCTGTCTGCATGTATGTTAATACATGTGTGTGTGGTAAATAATTAGACTAAATTTCTTCAGTTTTGACTGTAATTAGTGGAAACCTGTTTGTTTTATGTCTGTATACATTCTGCCTGTGAATGTACGTTATGTAATACGGACATGCCTAGTTTTCAAGTGCAGTGGAACAGCTTTGGAGTATTGCCTAAACAGTTGCTGAAATTCAGGTTTTTAAAGGACAAATGAGAGACAAATGAGTCCTTACAGTGAGGACGAGGAGGAGGCAGACGAATTCCAAGCTTCCCAGCTTCACGACAGGGAGGATGTTTGGTTCCTTCCCCTTTGTTCAGCCATTGCTTCAGTGCTGCACATGTAAACAGAAGGGGGTTTTTGAGGTGTATCGCTTGTGGTTCCTGTTAAATGAGATGGGATATACCAGTGGTTGCTGTTAAAGGAGATGGGATATACCAGTGGTTGCTGTTAAAGGATATGGGATATACCAGTGGTTCCTGTTAAATGAGGATACCAGTCCTCACTGCTTTCCCTCCCTCTTGCTTTAAAGGAGAGAAATGCATAGGAGCGCCTGTTTTGCAAATAGCTGCTTTCTCTCAAAGGCAAAACAGGCCCCACCTCTGCAAAAGACCCCCTGTGAAATCATGTATTTCATGATCTCTTTTCTGGCCTCTTTCTGTAGCTTCTCCTTGTCTGCAGCTGGCAGAAAACGTCTGGTAAATTTTCAGTTGTGGTGTCAGAACTGGCGATCTTTTCTGGGGTGTCATTAGGGTTTGATTCATTTGGATACCTGTTTTTTTTTTTTAAATAAGAGATGAAGTCTGACTTTCGAAGGGTATGATGACCAAATTCAAGCAGACATCATATTCATTTTTAATAACTCAGATTATGAAATATGTTTTAGATTTAAAATATCTTACAGGTATGTTCCAAACTATTCCTTTCAACTACTTAAGAATCTAAAATTTTTCTGTATGTTTTAAAAGTGTCAGTTTCTATCTACATGCAAATTCTGATTTATTAACTTTTTTAATCGTGCAAGTTATGAGTAGAATTATTCAATTATGTAAACAATTTGGGTAACAGCTTCAAAACATACCTCCTAATGAGAATCAGCTTTTCCTTAAGAAAGCAGATAAAAAGCACAAATGAAAAACCCAGTTACGTGGAGTATTTGAACCCCGTTTTCTTACTTCTGTGATTACCTTGTGATTTAAATCGGTGCAGTGCTTGCCATTGCACAGACAGTGCCACAGACAGCAAAGCTGAAGGATGCAACCCACAGGTTAAGATCCTGAGCCCACCCAATTGTTGTTGCACTCGCATCAGTGCTACTTAATTACTGTGATGACCTGAGGATGGGGTCTGGCAGAAATGTGCTGCTCTGGAGAGCCTGCCTGAAGCACAGCCCTGATTGCATGGGCAAATAATGGGACACTGCCTAAAAGGGATGTGTGTTCCCTCGAATGCCATCTCAGTGAAATCAAAGTAAGAACAATGCTCTTTCTTAATTGAAAAGGCAGCCAGAAGGAGATAATGGTTTTGGTGTATTGTCCTGTGAAGGGATGTCAGACACTCTGTACCACTGATGTGCAGGGCCATGGCTGCCTGAGGCCGGGGCGGCGCTGCCTACAGAGCACCTGGTCTGTAGGACCCACATAGGGACTCACTATGAAAGAAAATAATCCTGTTTATTAGATACGTTGTGTTCCAGTTTTGAGAGAAGGAGGCTGCTAGCTGTGTGGCCATACTTTCCTGAGAATGCAGGAGTCTGGCCAGTGAAAATCAGCTCCTGGGAATCAGCTGGATGGCACATGTCAAAAGCAAATAGGTGCAGGAAAGCCAGCTTTCCTACTGTTTGGTACAGTTAGAATATCGTCTCTGGTATTAGAAATGTGTGCTAGAGGACAGGCTGTGACCATTTTGTCTGCTACACTCTTCAAAAATCAGTCCTGAAATGTCTGCTAACGGTGCATTGGGAAGACAGGGGCAGGAGGAGGACGAGAGGCACAACACATGTTGCCTCCTTGTGTGGGATGTACCGAAGTCCTGAAGCCCATCAATACAAGAGCAGAAGTTTGGGTGCAAAAAGTAGCGTTTCCCTCTATGCGTTAGTTCTGCATCTGCCTTTGTTTTGTTGGAGGTTTGGGCAGTGTGCCTGCCTTCTGAAGGAGGATGTGCAGGCCAGCTGGCCTGGCCGGGGGGGTTAATCCCTGCCCGCATACTGCCACTGCTGAGAGATGCTAATGAATTAACAAAAAGCCTGTTGCTTTTCAGGAAAATGCACGCTTTACCAGGCACCCTGTAAGGAAGAGTGCTGCTGGCAGAAATATGAGGCCCTCTTATAGGAAAAGTACTGAGGCATTGAGGTTTCCATTGCTTTTGAAAGATAATGAGGTTGGTTGAACACCTCCCTTTGATACCATCTTCGCGTTTCATCACTTCTGTCTGTACAGTCCCTACGTGACTTTTTTTTAAGTTATATTCAAATTTGCTTTTCCAGACAAAAAGAGTCTTCATAACTCTGTTGGTTTTCAAAACATTAATTTTAATGCATACGATAATGGTGGGGAATGGGAAAGGAAATAACAAACTTTGTGTGCTATTTTTATGAGTTCAGATCTGTAAAATGGTTGTACCTTATCTTGTTGCTTCAGAATAATAGTTCATTTGGTAGAAAATGCTTTAACCACACTGAAGTTTTTTGTTGCAAAGTACCTGATTTGTAAGCTTCCAGTAAAAAAATATTCTTAAAGCTGTTTTAGGGACACCCTTTAAAGAACAAATAAACAGAAAACAACCTGCGTTCTGCAGACACTTGTTTCTGTTTTTTCTGACATAAGTGAACAAAAGCCAACAAAACTATACAGCAACAATTTGAGGCATGCATAAATAACTTAATAGTTTGTTTACAGAACGCCAGTCCTCCTGTCCAAAACCAGGAGTGGACTTGGCAGTCACCAATTTGACTTCATAATCTCTTGTTACTCTTTAACAAACATGTAGCTTTCCTTCAGTATCACTTCTAAGTAACAGGAAGGTGAGGTGTGGGATAAGAAATGTTGGAATATGTGGTTTGTCAATTTTAGCTCCTGAAAATCAGGAGATCTCAAATGTTTGTGTTTCAGGGTAAATAGACAGACTAACCCAAATGTTTCTGGACTTCAGAAAAATGAGCTGATGCTTTTTCTTGCCGTTTTGAGTTTAGTATACTTGAACTGCTTGTGCAGGTGGAATATGCAATGGGAAAAGCCCATTGTTTGTAAGGGTGTGGAGTGTCAGGAGTACAGGAAACATACGCTGTGATTTGTGCATGGCATTGTTTCAATTTCTCCTCTCTCTCGTTTATTTTCAGGGCAAGTGGAGTCTCACTCTGCTTTTAAAGCAGAACCTTGCTGACTCTGATAAACCAGTTTTTACCCATATGGAACCACACAGAGAGGGATGCAAGTGCAGAGTGTTTACGTTTCTTTTCACGATTATGCTTTTAATTCCCATGGCTTTCCTGCTAGAGAGGTTGCTTGCAGCCTTTTGATTTTGAGGAGCTTGCAAGGTGTAAAGGAGGCACAGCCAGCCAGCCCTGGGGTGGAAGGGATGGACAAAAATGGGTGCTCTCCTCACAGCTGTGCTGAGCAGTATCACCACCACTCTGACCAGCAGCATTTGAGGCAGCACGCTGGGTGAGGATTTGGAGCAGAGCGTTCCCACTCATCCATTTTAATAGCATTAAATGTGTAAAATGGATGCGATCACAGAACTGGAAACGGCAGCCCTTACTTCAATGAGTAATCCCTCAGAAAGCAGCATGAGTACTTGGGTGTGTGAGGGCTGCAGAAGGAGAGGTCTGGTTATGATGGCTGTGCAGCTCTGCTGACAGCTGTGTGCTGCTCTGCAGGCATTGTGCTACGTGTTTTAATGAGTTACATCTTACCTAATTGGGCTGTCCTCTGTGTTTAGAAATGCATTATATTTTTTTCTGAAACCTCGGATTCTAGATAAGATGATTTCACTGCACAGGACTCATTTTATTGAATGAATTTTTACCTCATTTATGTTCTTTAGAGTATTAAACATCTGAAATCACAGGGATAGTAGAGATTTTATCTTCTTTCATGTAATGAAACGTTTTATTGTTAACACGCACTTAAATGACATGCTTATGTTGAAGCAAATCTTCGTTTTTATTACATTCACACATATTTGTAATACAAACAGCTGGGATATATAAATTCCATTAAAATTTGATGGCAGTTTGTTAGACAGCGTTGTTCTCCTGCATGTTCTCAAAACTTATCCCCCGTGCAGAGGGAGAATCCCAGCTTCATCTCTGGTCTTCCGACAGAGATCGCTGCAGGTGGAGGTGGCAGCATGCAGGAAAGGACCTCATTTTTACTGGAAAATGACTGACCTGTCCATGTTGTTTACAGGCTAATATTTTGTTGTTGCTAAGCAGCAATGGTTGG